GAGAGAGAGAGAGAGAGAGAGAGAGAGAGAGAGAATCTATGTGTATGTGTTGTCTGCTAGATCGAGTAGGCCTACTTGTACTTTTTTGTCTTTACTCTTTGTGTTTAGTAGATCTACTGTAGCTTCTAAAGTCTGTGCAGTGCAAAGAGAGGTGTGAGTTTGGTGTTTACGAGCAATATTTGTATTGGTAAGATCAGAAATTACAAAAATCTGTGGATATTGTACAAATAGTGAATAGAATAGTCTCAGCATTTATGGGTTGGCAGACCTTGATTTGTTGTACATAGGAGGCTTCTTTATATTGCTGTTGACTCAAGTTCCTCTGTTTTCCCCTGCCCCTACCTTACTCAACTGGATAACTTCCTAATTTCTAAACTGGACTCTACCTTGCCTTACTTTTGAGGCTAACAAACTCAACTAACTGTGAATGTGTTGGCAGCCTAGATTCTAGGACAAATTGAATTGAAAGAGTAGTTCAAGTTCTTAATGTTTGTCTCTGTCTCTCAAAAAGATAGAATCTAGGCCCATCTATATCTAGATCTTGATTTCTAGATCAAATACTCTAAAATACATGTAAGGATAATGGAGTAGATAGAAGCCCTCTTTAGTAGTTTAGTGAATTTTCTGTGTTTAAAACTGTAAGACTAAGAGGAGCTATGGTTTTAGAAGAAAACATAAAAATAACTTCTCTTAGATTTTCTTTTTTTTTTCTTTCTTTTTTTTCTTCCTCTTTCTTTCTCCCACTCAAACACACACACACACACACACACACACACACACACACACACACACACACGTACACACTCTTATACAGGCACATATTTTTCCAGTCCTTACTTTCATGGTGGGTACACCACAGGATCTGATCTTGATCCCAGTTGAATGGTAAAAAAACAATTAATTGATGGAAGTGCGTGAGTTCCACTAATACAAGATCAAGATGAAAAGAGATAATTCGTTCTTTCAGGGTTTTTTTGGGGGGGGGGGTTTGTGTTTTTTTTGGTAAGTGTTTTGCGGCGCTCGCTACTGCATATATATGTCACATGAGCGCTCGGGACACACAATTATAACTTTTTCTATTGGTATAAAATTTTGAATTTTGCCCGGGTGGCGGCCGAAGCCTACTTTTATCGATTTTGGACCACCAAGGAATCTTTAACGTGCGCAACTTGCTCATGAGGCCTCCGAGATTTTTCGCCCTTGTCTGAGAAGGCTAGGTGTAGATCTTTCCTACCAGAAGCTCAGGGGTGTGGCTGAAAGACAGTCAGTAAGGAGCTAAGGAGAAGCAGTGGAAAGGCTAAGAGTCATGAGGAGCCCAGAGGAGGGGCCAAAGGAGGGGAGGGGTGGGGGCAGAAAGTGGAGGCGAAAACAGATGACAGAATGTTGCCAGAGAGCAGGAAAGGAGGTGAAAGGAGACAATTTTCTATTTTAGAGGAAAAAAATTTTCCGTGGCTACCTGGTTTCGAACCCGGGACCTTTGAATGAGAGGCGAACACTTTAAAATTAACCTCTAGTGGCCACGAGAGCCCCCTCTTTGAAGTTTAATGCAATGCGACTTGATATATTATAATGCATTAGGCTACTATGGTAAATTTAATTTAATAAAATAAAGTTCAACAGTAATTTATAAAGTAAGAAGAGCCCCACCCCTACTCAAGAATGAGGAATAATACAGTCGAACCTGAGTAAGTAGGAATCGCAAGGGAGCCAGAAAAAAATTCGGTCTTAGACATTTTCCGTCTAAGAAGGGGAATTTAGGGGGAGATGGAAAGGGTGTGAGTGTGTGTGTGTGTGGGGGGGGGTTCCAAGGCCCAGCCAGTGGGATCAAGGATCGCTTGTCCGTTCGGCAAGCAGTGGTCAAAACTTCACACCTCTCCATTGCTATGGCATGCATCAGTCTTACTTCCAATTACCACCAGTGCTTGCCTTTCATAGGACCACTGTTTGACCTATTAAAAACAGAAAGGTTTGAACTTCTCCTTTGCTTCCACCCTTAGCCCCTACCCATCGGTGTAACAAGCACAGTCAACCAATGCCACCCCTCTCTACCATCATGTAACAACGATTTGAGGAATTCTTTTCTCTACTGGCCGTACGATCAGGGCGGCTGGCATTGGTCAGTCTAATTTCACACCTCTGGCTTCTGACTACCCAAGAAAGTTTTCGTAGTGACACTCGCTACTCGAGCACTCTCACGGGCAGTCGTGAGATTTCACACCCTCACTACCCTGACCATGGGCATCGCTCAGGGTTCGCATGATGATGGGGTTACATCTAGATCTACCCCCAAATTGCACCCCTACTCCCCTTCCTCACCCAGCGGCATGACCATGGTGTTAAGTTTAGAGTCGGCTGAACCGAACTTGCGAGTTTTGTTTCAAATCAGTGCTGAGCAGGCAAAGCATTTTCCATCTTAGACAGGTGAAACCCTCGGACGGGAGCGGATTTTTCTTTCCGTTTCCGCGTTGGACAGGTTTCTGTTTTATACAGGAAATTAAAGAGGAATATATCAAGGGGGGAGCGGGGAGATTCCGTTATGACAGGTTTCCGTTTTATATAAACAGGTTTCCGTTTTATATAAACAGGTTTCCGTTAAGGCAGGTTGGACTGTATAATATTTAAAGACAATTAGCAGGCTAATTCAGATTTCGGGGGTTTCCAGAAATCTTGACCTACACCAAAAGTGGACATTGCTCTACCTATAGGATATATATATATATATATATATATGGCACCGTGGTGGAATCAGGCTCTCATCAAAATAATCAAAGTGAAGAAACTTGCATTTAATTTTTCCGCAGGTTTGTGAACTTTTATCAAATTTTTGTTTTTTGGCTCAAACACCTTTCATGCCCATTAAAGAACTCATTTCTGTGTGGATTTTTAAAAAAAACTTTTATTAAAAGCAGAAAAACTGTAAATGATCAGTTACCACGGACTCTTAAACTAAAGAAATAACTAATCTTTGGCGGCTATTTTCTCACTAATTTTACCTCTGAAAACAGGTGACCCCTACCTCCTTCTTTCGCTAATATCTTGACTTGTATTCAAGATAAATGGATATTTTTGTCATCCAGATAAAGACAAGTGAATAAGCTTTAATATAATACCAATAACTCTACATGCCCAAAATTTGACAAGAGCCTGATTCCACCACGCTGTCTCACATATGTATTTGTTTGTTATGGGAGAATACTCTCCTTGTATTTTAAAGAAACTGAACAAGGGGTCCAAAAACTTTACCTTCAATTTTTTCAAAACAGCATTTTTCAGGGTAGCCCCCTTCCTATGTCAGTATATGATAGACAATTTACAATGCAGTCAAGTAGATTTCCAGGTCGGGGAGTTCAAATTACTGTTCAAACTTGAGGGTTTTTTTTATTTGGTAGATTACAAAAGTGTAGGACTGGCTTTACAAAGTTTACTCTCCCAAATCGCTTTCATCCCACAACTTTTTTGTCTTAACGTTCTTAGGCGATGGAATATCTTTTTGGCAACATATTATTCTGTATACTATATGACATGGATGAGTCTTTACCCTTTAGACTATTTGTACATAAAAATATTCTGTGTACATGTATTGAATTTGAATAAGTCCCAAAAAGCATCCTCATGACTCACAGTATAAATCCCAAATTCTCTGAATTAGTAGACTTAAAATTTATTTCCTTTATCAGCTTAAGGCAATGACAATAAAGAGGGCCCCCAAATGGTGTGACAAAGTCTATTGCTTGCTACAGAAGTCTGTGTGCCGGTCCACTTGATGACGATCTACTACATGACTGTTCTACTTGGTAGTCTACCACCAGACCACTCTGATGGAGTATTAGTCTGCAGCTATCCACTAAATGCACTAAATCACCAAACATTTTCCCTCTTTGTGTTTGCTAGGGACTGTCGTTTCCTGTATTAGAAATATTTGGATAGTTGTTGTAGTGTTGTTGTTTTTTGGGGGGGAAGGGCGGGGGGGGTCTGACCCCTCTGATTTCTTGACAGGCCTAACGGTAGAGCGCATTATTGCAGTGAACCATCAGGTAGACTATGGTCAGTCAGGAGCGAATTGGGATTGATTGCATTATCATGGTAGAATGTTGTGAAGTGGGCTTGCACCACTGAAGTTTGGGGCTGGGTATAGTGTTTCTTAATGGTGAGTTATTGTAGTATAAAACTAGATTGATTTTAAAAAATAAACTTTTGTCACTCACTTGTTTAGTTTGTCTAGACCTTTTAACCAGAAGGAATGATAGTATTCACATGATTTTCATTAGATTAGCAGACGTCTATCATGCACAACTCTTGATGTATGTACGGTAGTGTATTAGTTCAGAAGTAAAGGGGTTAAAAAGGCAGGACAGATCTGAACTGACTGAACTGAACTTTGTAGTTTCATTTATGCAACAACTTCAAAACTGTATAGAAATTATATGGACAATCATCATCATCATCCAGTGCCAGATCTGCAACAGACATCTGCGATCATGGTTCTCCATTCATTCCTATGCTTTGATGCTCTCAAAAAAGCTACGTTTCCCTGATCTTTCCCTGTTGCCTATTTGTTTAGGTTCCCTGAGTGTGTTGTTCTGGGCCTACCCCTGCCTCTTTTGCCTTCAATTTTGCCACTGAGAGCTAGATGTTCAAGACCCTTATGTCTATTCAGGTGTCCCAAAAACTGCATTTGTCGTTTCCTGATTGTTTTTAACATTGAGTGTCCCATGTGGGCTTCATCGAGCACTACCTCATTAAATTTTATTTCCTTCCACAATACTCTTAGCAGTCTCCTAAGAAACTACATTTAATGGACAATACTGACATCTAAATTGAGTTTTGGTCACGTTTCTTATTAAAATCATATATCTTAATTATTTTTTGTTCTCTACATTGTGCTTTGTGGAGTTTTTAACTGATGTTTCTGATTTAATATGTGCCTTTATTATAATCTTTTCATTTTCATAAAAATAGTATAATACGTTTTAATATAAAACTGCTTCTGTGTGTCACCCTCTTTATCGTGTTGAGAGCAATTACATTTTTTCACTTTGCTTTGGTCCTCTCCCTTCGCCCTCGCTTTACCTTTCTACTCTTTCTCCCTTCACCGATGCAGCTGAATCATAATGGAAACTTTGATTCAGGGCCTACCGAACATTCGCATCCGAGAGCAGATCCGCTTTGATGACACAATTGACCAGCTCCACCATTTTGTCACAGTTTATCTGCTTGTCTTCTTAGCTATTATTGTGGGTATCAAGGAGTTTGCAGGGGCTCCTTTAGATTGTTGGTACGTCAATCCGAACTGGAAGCACTACCAAGATCATGCCAATGCCTACTGCTGGACTCACAAGCTCTACAAATACCCGAATGAACATAATCTTTCTCAGGTACTTGCAACCCTCATGTATCCCTCTTCTTGCCTTCCATGCCGTAGAGAGCTTTGGTTGCTGATCATCTAGTGTCACATGCTGTCTGTACATCTGTTTGGAATGAAAGATTTCTCAGTTTATAGAAGAGCGCTATGAGCTTATTATAGAAAATCATTTTTATTTTTTATTAGAAGCCTGCGAAATGTACTCTCAAGAAGTGAAATTCAAGTCTGGGAAAAACAAAACTTCTTCTTTTGTTATTAAGACTTTAGCTGGGGCTTTTGTTTTGAAAATCTTTTAGATTAATATATTATATTTATAATGTGAAAAAAAGAATTAAAAAACAAAGAAACAGTTCTCTTTTCAAGGACAATGACAATGTAAAGCAGATCACATGTGGCACAGAAGATGTGACTTGTATTTGTGCTGTAGCTTATGCATGTCATATTCATGAAATCCCCCATGCTTTTTCATCTACCATGGTAGTGCCAAAGTAGCTCCTCGAGTGGTTCATGGTTGTCATGGAGACGATACTTTCTGGTTTGCCAAATCTTCAACTGCGAGAGAAGATTCGCGATGACGACTTTGTGGATCAGCTGCACCACTTCATCACGGTCTACTTGCTGGTCTTTGGCGGTATAGCTATTGGCCTTAAAGAGTTTGCTGGCTCCCCATTGGATTGCTGGTATACAAATCACAGCTGGAAACACTATCAGGACCATGCCAACTCGTATTGCTGGTACCATAAGCTCTACCAATACCCCAACGAGCATAACCTTTCACAGGTCGGTTCAATTTCAATTTTTCATAATTTGTTTCATCACTTTTGTTTTGTGGCTTTGTAACATTTCTCTTTTTTCATTCATTCAATTACTACTTTAAATGCTGCCTTCTTAAGAAACTCACTGCTTTTCACTAACTGATGATATGACCATACTATAAGTATAGAACACATAATGTTTATTCATCGCATTGTTTTGTGAGTACTGTGTGATGAAATTAAGGGGATTTGAAATGTACATCTGCCCTTCATACATTCATCATTATTTTTTCTTAGAATAGGAAGTTGCAGTTTTTACCTAAATAGGATTCTTTATGTGCTGTTGAATTATTAAAACATTCTTTTTAAGTTTATTTGTGGGTAGAGCTTAAAAAATGTTTTTTGTTTTTTTTATCAAGGCAAACGGTGAGGAAAACTGATTCTTCCTTACCTAACCCATTCCATAATATCATAGATTTGTAAGGTAAAAAAAGGCTTGAGAGTTGCAGCTACACTGGCAAGGAAGATTATAAGATAGTATGGTATAAAAAAAAAGAAAATTTAAATGAATTTAGATCATTCAAATGGTCATGATCAGTAAACAAATTTGAAGAGAAGTCATAATGTGCTCTTATTATGATAATCACAAGTTTTTAATTTTTTTTTTGGTAACTGTGTTCTGATATGGCAGGGCCTCATTATCATCACTTCTGTTCATGCTTTTAAATGTTGGCACCGATCATTTTTTTGTTTTTGTGTGAACATTTTTATTTGATGGACTCTTTCTGTTTAATGTACTCAATGAGTTCTACTGAATCATCATGTAACTATGTGGTGCAAGACAAGTCCTTTTATTTATGTTGTATAATGATTTAGCATAAAACTCAAGTTTGTTAGATCTAGTCAATTAACTGACTAAAATAGTGCTTCAAGGTATTAATAGTTGTGGAAGTTTACTAATGATTCACTTTCCATTTAATTTTATCATTTCATCTTTTCTGAAAACGTCCACATTTTCTGTAATTTGTAGAGAAATTAAAAGTAAAGTGGTATTAAGGAAAGTCGCTTTCGTACAGTTTGTACAGCTGTCTTTAATTTTCCTTGAGCCATATGAAGTAAGTCTATTGAACTTTATTCCTCTTATGGAGTAGGCTTTGATGGTCTCTCTAAATTATGGTTTTGTATAATATTTTTTTAAAGCAAATTGGTGAACAGTCGTCCATTTGTTTACTGTAAATATCTTTTCGAACTCATGGGTCCTTGCACATGGAAGTTTCATGTCATCATTTATTTATTTTAAAACTTGATTTTGTTTGTACTGACATTTGTACCATTCCTGCTTTCACATTGTTGCCAATACAACTAACTGTTATTAATTAAATAATGGTATGGTAAAGGAGAGCTCATCATTTTTTTTCACTCACTTTTAAAAATGTTTATTTAATTCTTTTTTTCCCATTTTGTTCTTTTTGGTCTCTTGCATCTTACTTGGCAATGGACAAATGAGTTATCTTCCCTTTCCCCTCCTTTTAACAAACTTTTAATTGTGAATACAATTAATCACACATTGATCTTGGTTATTTCATTTTAATTTGAAGAGGATGAGTCAGAGTGGATCCGTAGAAAATCTTGTAGATGTTCATTCGTTCGTGTCTCTTGATCAAGCAATATGGCATAGATTCATCAACTGCTTAGTGTAAGACTATGTCATATGTCACTTTTCAAAATGGCATCTAGTCGAGATTTACACTGAGCAGTCAGTATACACTATACTTTGTATATATGTGTATATATATATATATATATATATATATTATATATATCTTGTAATATTATATTTATTATAATGTTTTGGTGTGTGTTCATTTTTGTGCTTTTACTGTTAAAACAATATTAATAAGGAGTCTGTAAGAGTATTGACTATCCATATCTATGAGGGGGGAGGGGGGATGTTTGTTGTTTTTTGTGCAGAAACTCAGAGTATGCATTTTGACACACTTCAGTAGTTAATGAGAGGGTGCATAGAAAAATATTGTACAAACAAGATAATTTTTCAAAGTACTTACTCCCACTAATTTCTTGTTTTCTTTTCACTGTCGTAAGTCATTTCACTAAAAAAATAGATATTATTAATAACCCCCTCCCCCCACCCAGTTTGTTTTAAAAAAAGAACATCTCCCATTCCATCTGTTCCATTTCTTGAATCATTTCATGCATTGGTGTGTGATCCTTTTCATCCCTTGTGGCCTTTCTTGTACACTTCTTTTAAAGGCCCACTTGTAATCTCATTCTAATTTTTGCACTTGCCCTCATTTTAATCAATCAAGTTTGTCCCTTTATTATATCATGCTAGATATTCACTCCAGGTGTTCTAAGGAAATGCAAATTACTCACTTTGTTTGACCAACGTTGTGAGAAGTGAATGCATTATTTGTTGCCTACATGATCTAAATTGCTGGGATTTTTTGCCAATGGGATTACATGTTGTAACATTATTAACAATTTCATGTAACCGATTATCTTCATTTCTTCTTGTACTTTACCTGTGTACAAACTTTATCATCTTGTCATAACATTTTTTATTTTTTGTGTGATAATATTGTCTTGCTTAAAAACCATTTGAGATATGGTTGGAAGATGTGATAATTTTTCAGCACTCTTGATTTCCTGTGCTCTCTTTATACTTCAACTGGCGTCATACATTTTACTGTTGATTTGATTTAACAATGCTCACTCACCCATTCATCCTACTATGGTTAACTTGAGTAAAGTAGTTTCAGTATGTTTGTGAAGCCATCTTTTCTTTTAATTGTGATCACTTACTAATCTTTGTCTTTAATTGAAAGTACTCTGTAATTTGCAACTTTTCGTCACTTTCCCCCCACTGAACAGTTCTGAATAAGCTCACACTTTTGATTTGGCGGTTGTTAAAATTATTTTTTTTAAATGATAAATTATTTTCTTCTTTACCATCGTCATCATCGTTACTATAGAAAAAGTACATGTATATAAAAAGTGAAAAAAGGGAAGGAGAGTCTTAAGTAATTTTCGTTCAGAAAATAATATCTCTATCAATAAAGAATTTAGTTGAATAATTAATATATCTAAACGTTTCAACATATATTTCGCCTCATAGGCTTTTTCAGGAGTGACTAAGAACAGACTTCAGGGGCTCTATTATTTTTATTATTGTTATAAAATCATTATTATTATTATTATTTTATAACGATTCGAGACGATAACTACATTAGATGTCGGTCTTCTACTCTTGTTCGATGCTTCTGTGGATAACATTTCACTTATGAACTAAATTTGGATCTTCCTGGTTCCTGTAAACTGTTAACAAACTAAAACCAATATCTGCTGTGTGTGTCTCGGTTTATACTCTCTCTCTCTCTCTCTCTCTCTCTCTCTCTCTCTCTCTCTCTCTCTCTC